TTCTGTACTATGTAACAGAATGGATACATCACACTAGAGGGGAGGACTGGATGGCAGAACCTACCCACCAAGGTCATCACTGCATGCTAACCATTGGTTAGTCAATATATGCAGTAGCCTCACCTATTGCAGCACAACCATTGTCAAAATAAACACACCACCATTGTATTTGAGGATGATAAGCAATACAACTATCTGGGCACATAGTCCCAAGATTCATAGCAACAACTCACTGTGTCACCCTGTGCTCATGTTCACAGGGTGCTGAGAGGCAACTCGTCTGCCCATTCTAAGGATTGTGGGAGGAAATGATCTGGGGCCAGGAAATCCATTTTCTGGCAGACCCCGTGGTATTGTGTGATATGCAGAAGATAACGGATCCTGCTCACTCTAATAACCGACAGCTACTGTTTTTTATGGAGAAGTTTTTTCATGCCTCTGCAGAAGTTGCTGCCAAGAGACAGTGGTGTGTATTTCAGAGGCTGCTTTTAGCCTGGAGAAGATAGAGTCACGGGATTACAAACAGAAGCACAAGAACAGAAGGGGACCATGGGGAGATGGAGGCATGGACCGAGCTGATGATGTTTTTCTGTGGCAGATCTTTCCTATGCAGACCACTGCTTCTGGACCAAGGACCACGAGCACACACTGGTGGAACCATGTTGTGCTGGAGACATGAGATGATAAACAGTGGGTCCAGAACTTTTGTGTGGAAAGCCAGGGTCCACCTGGAGCTGAGGGGAGTTTATCTTAGGTCTTGAGTAGCAAAACACCTGAGGAGAGAGCTCATAACCACTCTAGAAGCATGGTGCATAGCACTGTGGAAGCTCACAACCCCAGACTGTTACCAACCTGTTGGTAATCAATTAATGGTAGGCAAATCCATGATTGACACAGTGGCCATGGAGGTTTGTGAAGCAATTAATGCTGTGCTGTCTTCCAAGGTTTTAAAAATTGGACAAATTTATTTAATAATTGTAGGGTTTGAACAGATGTGGTTCCTGAGCTATGCAGGTGTGATCAATGGCACACACATACCCATCCTATGCAGCCATTTCAATCAAGCAAGCACATTCACAGGAAAGGATACTACTCCAGGGTTATGCAGGTCCTTGTAGAGTACCATGGCATATTCATCATGGATACCTATATTGGATGTAAAAGCAGGGTGCATGATGCTAGAGTTTTCTGGAGATCTGGCCTATTTCAGCATGGGCAAGTGTGTGTGAGTGGGGTGTGCTCTTCCTGGGGAGACCAGGCTGGGATGGAACGGAGACAGAGGACCGGCTGGAGTGTCTGAAAGCAGCTGGGCCCTTCCTGGTCCCAGAGAATGCTTGCCTTAGGAAAAGATAAGAAAACAGCCTGTTTATTGTTTTAAGATCTGTTTTCTCTGAAATGTTTTGGTTCTAAAATAATACTTTGCTTTAAGAAGGCTGCCTGGGCACTGTATTAACCACTAGTCATGGCTCCCGGAAGGAGCAGCACTGCATGTATAGAGTCTTAGTGAGGCCTGGCTGAGGTAATCACAGTTCATGCACAGAAGACTGCAGCCCACAGCTTGGTCTGAGAGCAGAATTGTGTGATCCCACTTAGAGAGGTGATAGGCCCGAGGCCTGAGAGAGGGTGCACTTAAGGAGAACTGGAGGGGTCAGAGGTGCAGTTAGCCCAGAGCTAACAGGAAAAACTAGACTTACACCCCCTCAAATTAGGGTTGCCACCTGGGCAGTTTTCATTCTGTCTGGCTAATTAAAAGATTTAATGTGACAGTTTTTTCCCCCCTACTTGGGAGGGGACACGTTAGAGCGCTCTGATACACACCTCCATAATTCAGACTGCGACACTGTCTTAGGCTAAGGTAAGAAAAATGATGATAAACGTACACATATTGTAGGGCTTTTTTTGTGTAAAATGGTTCTCAAACATTTTAGTAATAAGTAGCTGTAGTCGACACTAAGACCCTTTTTGTTGGTGGGGGAGTGGCTTATGGCTGGTTTTTCTGCATCTCAGAGATGACAATCCTATCTCAGACACTAGGAGTTGGTTCAGTTCTGTCGCTGTAATTTAAGAGGAAAGCTCATCCAATTTAGCTTGTACTGAAGTGTAAGATTAGATGAGACTAAATATACATGCATGCTGTTGCTTTGAAATCCTCTCTAACGCTTTACTCCAACTACTAAATAAAAATGCTTTGTTTTAAGAAGGCTGTTGGTCACTTTATTATTGGTCACAGGTTCCTGAAGGAAAAAAGTGCAGATGCTCAAACCCAGTCTGGTCTGCAGGCTGCTATGTGGTTGGTGTACATACAAGTAGCATATTCAGGTCCCACACTAAGAGTTGAAGGATTGCGAGATTCCACCCCAAGTCAGGTAAGGGCAAGAGCCCTGCCTCAGCACATCCCTTCAGATGATACCAAAAGTGGGACAGATGTGCAGCTAGCCCTATAACTGTGACATATGCATAAGAGCCACTGTTTTCTGCCCGTTTCTGTTCAGATGTTATATCCTGCATAAGATTAAAAAAAAATACCAGTTAACTCTAATTAACAACAAAAAAAAAAAAACTGACTACAAATTCAAACTGCAGGCATCAATTGTTGTATTGATTGCTGGTAGTTTAATAGATAAGAAACTGAATTGTATCAGCTTTACTGTATTCTCATAACATCCGATTTTGATGTTAAAATCTTCTGTTCTTGTACTTGGTCAGGAGATTGAGAAACTCAAGCATGTAATCCTTTCCTGTAGTTTGGTAGCCCCAAACCATAGCGACTGGCATCCTGTAAATACACAGCTGGTGTGCAATTATCTGGAAAGAGAGACACGCACATTTCATTCTGCCACTTACTAGTTTGGTCAGCCTTGTTCATTGCAAAATATTGTTGTGCTCCTGAAAAGTGAAGCAAGTAATAATTATTGTCCTTTCTCCCGGATCTGAAGCAAGTGATAATTACTGTCCTTCTTCCCCGACTGCCATTAAAGTCTGTAGCCTATCTGGAATAAAACAGATTGCTTCCAAAACAGATGTTGCTGTTAACCCAAATGGGGAAATTTCAATACCCAATCCTGATGGGACACTATGCCAGCAGTTCACCTTTAAAAATAGTGCTCCAAATATTCTAAATTATCCTCTTATCTATCCAGGTTCTTACAGCAATGTCCATTCAACACAGTTTCTCAAATTCCTCCAAGCCTTCTACGGATAAAATCTCTTGTTACTCTCACATATTTATGAGAAGCTCCCAGTAATCCTGATATAGTCTCAATTTCTGTAACCCAGTTGCCCTGGAAAATGCAACATTTTAAGGGGACTTTTATGCTCCTTCAGAAGTTTTTGGTCAAAATTGTTTTTGATTAAAAATTGGGTTTTCAACTAAAATTTTTCATGAAAGAAGTGTTGGCTTTCTGGGGAAAATTTTGATTTTTCATCAAAAGCTAAAAAGCCAAAAAACTAAATATTACAATTTGGAAATGCTGCCGTGGAGCTTCATGGGAGTTTTAGTTTGCTTGCCACATGTCCTCATTCTCCTCTATAGGCCAGGCTCTTTTGTCAGACTACATCTCCCATGATACACGTTGGCCCGGGACTCTCCGGGAGATATAGTCTGACCAAGATGCCCAGCGTACAGAGGAGGAAAAAAACAAAAAAAGGATATGAGTCACTGTGGCAGCATTTCCAAATTGAAATTTTACAGTTTTCAGACAAAGTTTTTCAGTATTTGAATTTTTATTGAAAAACTGAAATTTTCCACAGATTTTTTTTTTCTGGTCACCTGTATGTGTAGCACTTAGGAAGAACCATAATTGGTACTGTATAAAAACCTTAAGTGGATAAGATTGTTTTTTCCATTCAACAATGAAATCTAACAAAAACAGATGTTTGTGCAGGTGAACTGTATTAATGCCTCAGAACATAAACAAGGAACTTGAGAGGAAAACAGCTCCTCTCCTCTTTACTGCTCTGAGGAGAAGAAAAGCACAACCCCTTCACCCCCAATGCTTTTACAGGTGAACTCGCGTGAGATGGATGGACATGGGAGATGTATGAAACCAGGTTCTTGAAGGTGAAGAGCTATATTGCCTGGATAGTGCAAGCTAGTTTGCATTGCCCACTGTAGTTACTGCTCCTATTCTGAAGTTACAGGGATGGCTATGTTAGCTAATGCAGTTAGTAGACACCTTTCATAGGCACTAATTTAACCAATAAAAGTCTAAGTTACCTATGAAAACCAACTATATAAAACAAGCTATCTATTTAAAATTAAACATCCTGGGCTAAGTTATATTACAGTAACAAATATTTGCTTTACTGTGAATGTACACTGGATAATTTATGTGAAGTTTTGAAAGCTGGTTTGAGAGAGATAGCAAGCAAATGAATGTAAAAAAATGTTTAATCAGTGACTCAATACGGTATAAGTAAGGCTACGATTATGTCACGGAGCTCACGGAATCTGTGACTTCCACTCACCTCCGTGACATTTTCTACCGCCGGGCTGGAGCTCCCAAACAGCCCTCCCCACTCCCCCCTGTAGCTCCCAGCCCCTGCACTGGTGGGGGCAACCCTGCAGCCGCCCAGCTGTAGTTGGTGGCAGACAGATCCTGCAGCTCCCAGCCGCGGCGGGCGACCCCCGTGAGTGCCCAGCCACCTCAGGAGTGAGGAGACCCGCAGCTGCCCAGCCCTAGGGGCAGGAAGATCCTGTAGTTCCCACTCCCCACAACAGTGGACCCCAGAGCTCCCACTGACCGCAGCAATGGGGGACCCGGGAGCCCCAGCAGCAGTGGATGCTGAACCTGCCTCCCCATTTTGTCAGGGATATTTTTAGTGAAAGTCAGAGACAGGTCACAGGCTGCTGGGAATTTTTGTTTATTGCCCACGACCTGTCCCTGACTTTTACTAAAAATATCCCTGACAGAAACTATAAGCTACAAATAGAAAGGGGATGGTAGAGCAAACAATATGAAAAAAATGTGTTAAAGGCAAAAAAAGTACCACTGTTCAAGTTATATTCCAAAGTTTATTAAGATGAGAGTGATTTTAGTGTTATAGAAAATGACAGGAGATATTTAAAGTTACACAGGAGTCCAAGAAAATAAAGAATTTTGAAAAAATTTGATGCATTTCAAAAGCTGCCTCATTTATCCGTTTCTGCCAGAAGTCTACCCACAGAGCTGTGGTTTCAAATGCAGGAGATGCAGAATTCCAGCTAAAATACTTCTTTAATATGTTTCTTGCTTAAGCTGTTCCTGCTTTTGGAGGTGTACTTTGTTCTGAAGAGTGAATATTTAACCTGCAAATGAATGCGGTGGGATTCCTTTCACCCCAAGTCCAGTTATCTATTTAAAAATAAGGGAGAGAGACAGAAGATAATTGTGATGATTCATGTATCTTTCCACAGAGTAATTTGTTTTACGACTGCGACCAACTTGATATCCTGCAATTTTCTACATTACAGCCCATCACCAGATATTAATTTCAACCCACTGCTGTTTCCAAAGAACTGTAATATCTAAGCCATGGTCCATTCTCCAGACAACCCTCTTTCAAACACACTTGGGCCTCAATCCTAGAATTGATTGTGTACAGCTACAGGGGTGTGCCTGCATGCAGTTAATTGCAGGATCAGGGCTTTAAATCCACAAGGTCTGTGCAACAGGCTGGCCTGCCCCTATAAGAGCCAGGAGGCCTGGGGCTAGCCAACCCTGTTCAATCAGCCCTGCCTGTGCAACAATTAGCTGCCTGCCAGGATAAGGACTAATTGAGTCAGGGGACAAGGCTGAAACACCTGGGACCCATAAAAGGACTGAGAAAACTCAGTCTGGGGAAGGAACCACAGGGAGCAAGATGGGCTCCTGTGAAAGGCCCTGAAGTAGGGTCTGGAAGAAACAAGAGATTCAGCCCTCTATCCTAGGGCAGGGAAGACTGAAAGGTAGCCCAGAGGGGCTGAGTCTGTGAGGGGGGCTCCAGGGAAAGCAGCCTGGGAGTCAGTGCTCTATCCCAGAGCAGAGAGACTTAAAGGTGGTCCAGAAGGGGCTGGGAACTGAGCCCAGAGGATAGGCCGAAGAGGAGCCCAAGCAGGGCAAAAGAACTTTGTTTGGGCTTCCGTTCCCCCAGAAGGGGGCTGAACTCAGAGTGACCCAGCTGCAGAGCTGAGTCACATGAATCTCTGGGAGAAACAGAAAACTTAGGGGAGAGACAATTGAGGCAGGGGGCACATGCAGCACCACACTTGGTGAGCAGAGGGCACTACAAGGCATGTGTGCCCTATGCCAGTCACCAATTAAAAAACAAACTAGCAAACTAAGTTATAAATAATTGTTTGGTAGATAACACATTGTCTCCTACTTTGTCTCTGATTAAAACAAAAATTCTCTACAAGTTTTTGCCCTGCTAACGTTGGGAATTTTTTTAAAAGTAGAGGGTTTTCGGTACAGAAAAAGCTAATGTCTTGTACAATCATCAATGTCAGTATTATTACAAGTTTAGAACCAGTCCACGATGTAAACATGAAAAGACTAGCAATTTTCTAAATACAGCAGTAGGGACCAAAAAACTAAAAAAGTCAAAAAACCAAGAACAATAGTTTTAAGTGATATGGTATGTTCAGACTGACCTCCACCTGACTTCAAATCAAAATGCATAAGAAAATTCTTTCTGGCCTTTTAACAGAAAGGAAATAATTTAATCACCTTGAAAATACCACCAGCCTGTGGTTGCCGTGAAAACGATTCATCATCCATTCCTTGACAGGCAGAAGTCACATACATTTCTGAATAATCCTTTCCACCAAAGCAGCAGGAAGTTGTGTTGTCAACAGGTAGCTTCACAGTCTGGATTCTTTTTCCTGGAGGGGGAAAAAATAGCTTTTTGTTGGTTTATTTTCTACAAAGAATTTAACAAAATTGCCAGTAACCAGCACAGAACCTATGTTGCACAGAAATACAGGGTTTGGGGTGGAGGGAAAAGGGGGAGACTTGTGTAATTTAGCAGGCTGAGTGTGTGGTTGGGAAGAATTCTGAGTTCCATTCTTGATTCTCTCACTTACTCCCAGTATAGCCTTTGGCAAGTCACTTAATCTCTGTTTCCATAAATGGGGCCTGATCCAAAGCATACTGAAGTCAGTAGGCGTCTTTTTCCATTGTGTTAATAAATATTAGCCTTTCATTATTTTTGTATGTTAAACTCTCATAATTCTGTTATCTGTCACCCAAAATCCTTTTTATATTGTGTGCCTATAAATGCAGTCCCCTGTACCTACGAAGGTGAAAAATTGTATCCTTAAAATGAACTTAGTATGTGATCAACGCTCAGGAATGTATCTAATTAAATATTGGGATGTACCTAATTATTCCCTGAATCTCTCCGTCAGAGAGTCCAGATGACCAGGAAGGTATCCCTCAAAATTAATGAAGGGACCCTACAGAAGTAAATGTTATAATAAATAAGACTGGGTACTTGATAAGGGGTGCTTATGATCCAATTAAGTTCTGTGATTGGTAAGAGGTATTTGTTATTGCAGATGTTTCTGTAATGAATGAAATAATGGCCCCTTGAAAGATGTTTTAAGTTTTAACTCATTAGCAACTACCTGTGGCCACAGCTGTCAGTAATAATGACTGGGTCAAAAGTCCCTTTGGGTTATCAATCAAGACTGAGATACTTATTTAATGTCTTTTTATGGTAAGAGGTAAACTGAGATATCAAACTGTACACATTGTGGGAAAGTAGTTTTTCACTCCAAAAGGAATTTCTTTTTCTTACACCCTACAAAAGGAAAGATTCTGGGAGTTAGATTGCAAATGGAAACTGCCAGCATTCCACTACTTACAGGGGAGGGAGGGGGGGAAGAGAACAGGGTGTCAGCTATTCACCATTCACAAAGACTGGTAAAGTAAACTTTGCTTCTGTATTCTGCATAGTGCTGTATTAATCTTTGATAATCTTTAAATAATTCCATCTGAGCCTGTTGTTTTGACATCCTGTATTATTATTAAATTCAAACATGCAACAATAGGCTTCAATGGGCTTTGGATCAGCCCTACATAAAACAGGGATGATAATGCTTATCTGAACTTTGTAAAACACTCAGATGTCTATATAATTATTACAGAGACTCAGGATACTGACATACCAGTAGTCCATTTAGCCCAAGTATACTGTTTCTGGCAGTGGCCAGTACCAGATGCTTCAAAAGAAGTTTTAAAAAACTTCATAACGAACAGGTATACAGGGGGAAATTCTTTTTAATTTCAGGCAGTAAGTACTTGTCTTAGGCCTTGAATCATGAGGGTTTATACCCATTACATATTTTATCCTATTTATCATATAGATATTTCATACTTTTTTTGAATTCTGCTAAGGTCTTGTGTTTTCTTTAAATACATTTCCTCTCTCTCTTTCCCCCCCCCCCTCCTTTATGTTGGTAAGCCTTGCAGATAGAAACAATGTAATGATGTATTGAAAGTTTAAAATACAACATTTTATGGTGAAATACTTCAGGAGTGAAAACTCCTAGCTCCACTGTAGTCAAAAGGAGTTTTGCCATGACTTCACCAGGCCAAGATTTCACCGTTGTGTTTTAAATAAACAGATAATTTTGTTTACTATTTTAGTTGCCAACAAAGCATTTTTGCCTCACCCCACAAGCTACTCTTATTTCCTTTTCTAAATGAAGTACCAGCACAAACAACAATGGTTACTTGGTCCATGTTTGATAATCAAGTCCTTAAATGAGATTTCAAAAAAGGATGAGTGAGATTTTTCCATGTCTCATTGAAACACTTTGCAAATTTCTTGTCACAAGAGTTAGATGCATTTAAAAAACTACCTTAAAATTAATCCCACAAAGATAAGTCTGCTTCACTAATGGACAAAAAAGATTCCCGTGTATATTCTGAATAGTCCACATGGTTTGAGAAGCATCTTGGGCTCCCTGCATCTATATAATAAATAGCATCTTACATTTTTACAATACCTAAAATAAACTGAAAACTGAGGGCATGTCTACACATCCCCACAGTTCAACTACGGGGGTGTGAAATGCAGCACACTCTACTGTGCTGCGCTGTAACTGCAAGTGCAAACAAAAGGTTCCTATTTTGTCTGAACTATGCAAACTAGATATCTTTTGGTTTGCGCTTGCATATACTATAATCCCAAGGGCCACCTGACCACTAAGTAATCCAGTTATCTCCAAGAACTGCTTAAAAAAAGGATGCCAAATAAACAAGTTTCCTTGTCTATCCACCCCCACACCCAATGTTCCCAAATCCAAATTTCACTGAATAATGCCTGAATATCCCCTTTCTAAAAATGTGTCATCTTCACCTTAGCTGAATTGTTTCATGATTTTTTTCTGCCACTGGCTAAAAATAAAGCCATAGACCTTTTTATCAGCCAGTTTGCAAATAAAAAGCCATCAAGTGGCCATTAACCACCCAAACCATAGAAGCGAAAGACATCTTTGCTTAGTCCAAACCGACAAAGGTGAGAATATTAGTAATCAAAAATAAACTAAGTGATAGGTACAGACTAAATATATCAAGTTAAATCCCTGGACTTTCAAATGTGTAGTCTGAATAAGACAGTAACACCATACTCCTTTCACTGAGAAGGACAAGTAGTGGGGAGCATCTATTCAAATAAAGACAGCAAGAAAACGAAACTCTACAATGGAGTAAAAAACCCTCAGAACAAAAACCCAACCATACACAAACATTGTCAAGTGTCAAATGTCCAAGCCCACATCAGCCAAGTACATTTTGACTCCAGTTCTCTATTGACCTAAACGCCCTATAACTTTCTCCAGAGAAGAAAAACATAGGAATTGCCACTCTAGATCAGAGTGGCATCTAGTCTGATATCCTACCTCCAGCAATGCACAGCACCGGATACTTCAGAAGAAAGTGCAAGAAACACTATAATGGATAATTGTGGAATAACCTACCAAAAGGAGAAGTTTCTTCCTAAAACCCATCAGTTAGTGCTTTCCTTATGCTCTTACATGTGAGGGTTTATTCTCCTTATCTATATAAATGTTTAATACATTCTGCTCTTGGACTCAATTCTATCTCATGCCAGTGAGTTCTACAGGTTGTGTTTAGGTAGCTTTTCTCAGCTTTCAATATGTTACTTTCCATTTTCATTGAAAATCCCTTGTACTTGTGTTATAAGAAAGGGTAAATAGGAGCAGCCAACTTACTTTTTCTATACCAGTCATTGTTTTGTACACCTCTACCATGACCCCTCTTATTCATCCCTTCAGTAAACAACCCCAAACTTTTCAATCTCTTCATTACTTTTAATTGTCTTCATCACCCATCACTGAATGGTTTTTACTTCTGCTATTTTTAACAGAAGAGAATACAGTATTTCACGTGTGTGCCAATGATTTTTATTAACATTTTCAGTACTATTTTCTATTCTATTTCCTGTGCATTCACATTCTGTTTGCATTTTTGACAGCTATTGTGCATTAGACAGAGAGGTTTTCATGGAGCTGTCCACAATAATGCTCAGGTCTTCTTCCTAAGTAGTCAGTTAATTTAGAATCAAGCAATATGTATAGACAAATTGTGCAATTAAAATATTCCTTTAAAATACGTACTACCTTGTCTCTGTCAAAATAGAATTTCATAGGCCTTCCTGCTGCCTGTTCACTTAGCTTTGTTAGGTCTCTCTGTAGTTCCTTACAGTCTTTTCTGAGCTTGACTTAACTTAATCATACCTCTCATACCAAGTCCCAAATGTGGGAAGTTAGATGTGACAAAGATTCAAAATGAGGGAGGCAAATACCTGAGTGTGCACATACGAATTATTCATGCTGGAAAGTTAAAATGCTGTGGGACTCTTTAAAGAACTTTATAACCTCCGTTCCATGATTCTATATTTATGGTATAAATAATTTAAACAATAAAAGTGAGTGGAACATAGATAACCTTTGTACATGTGTCAAAATGGGGCACTATCTAAATAAATTTGTGTCATCAGTCATTTTTGTTACTTCACTGCTTACCCCTTCTTCCAGACCATTTACCAATATGTTAACTCCTCACTTAAAGTCATCCCGGTTAACGTTGTTGATCAATTCGAGAACATGCTCATTTAAAGCCCTCAGTGGTGAAAGAACAGGTTAAAGACTATTTAGAAAAGCTGGACGTGCACAAGTCCATGGGTCCAGATTTAATGCATCCAAGGGTGCTGAGGAAGTTGGCTGATGTGATTGCAGAGCCACTGGCCATTATCTTTGAAAATTCGTGGCGATCGGGGGAGGTCCCAGATGATTGGAAAAAGGCAAATATAGTGCCCATATTTAAAAAAGGGAAAAAAGAGAACCCGGGGAACTACAGACCAGTCAGCGTCACTTCGGTCCCCAGCAAAATCATGGAGCAGGTCCTCAAGGAATCCATTTTGAAGCACTTGGAGGAGAGGAAAGTGATCAGGAACAGTCAACATGGACTCACCAAGGGCAAGTCATGCCTGACCAACCTGATTGCCTTCTATGATGAGATAACTGGCTCTGTGGATATGGGGAAAGCGGTGGATGTGATATATCTAGACTTTAGCAAAGCTTTTGATACGGTCTCCCACATTATTCTTACCAACAAGTTAAAAAAGTATGGATTGGATGAATGGACTATAAGGTGGATAGAAAGCTGGCTAGATTGTCGGGCTCAACGGGTAGTGATCAACGGCTCCATGTCTAGTTGGCAGCCGGTATCAAGTGGAGTGTCCCAGGGGTCAGTCCGGGGGCCGGTTTTGTTCAACATCTTTATTAACGATGATCTGGATGATGGGATTAATTGCACCCTCAGCAAATTCGCAGATGACACTAAGCTGGGGAGAGAGGCAGATACGATGGAGGGTAGGGATAGGGTCCAGAGTGACCTAGACAAATTGGAGGATTGGGCCAAAAGAAATCTGATGAAGTTCAACAAGGACAAGTGCAGAGTTCTGCACTTAGGAAGGAAGAATCCCATGCACTGTTACAGACTAGGGACTGACTGGCTAAGCAGCAGTTCTGGAGAAAAGGACCTGGGGATTACAGTGGATGAAAAACTGGATATGAGTCAGCAGTGTGCCCTTGTCGCCAAGAAGGCCAATGGTATATTGGGCTGTATTAGTAGGAGCATTGCCAGCAGATCGGGCAAAGTGATTATTCCCCTCTATTCGGCACTGGTGAGGCCACACCTGGAGTACTGCATCCAGTTTTGGTCCCCCCACTACAGAAGGGATGTGGACAAATTGGAGAGAGTCCAGTGGAGGGCAATGTAAATGATTAGGGGGATGGGGCACATGACTTACGAGGAGAGGCTGAGGGAACTGGGGTTATTTAGTCTGCAGAAGAGAAGAGTGAGGGGGGATTTGATAGCAGCCTTCAATTACCTGAAGGGGGGTTCCAGAGAGAATGGAGCTCCGCTGTTCTCAGTGGTGGCAGATGACAGAACAAGAAGCAATGGTCTCAAGTTGCAGTGGGGGAGGTCTAGGTTAGATATTAGGAAACACTATTTCACTAGGAGGGTGGTGAAGCACTGGAATGGGTTACCTAGTGAGGTGGTGGAATCTCTATCCTTAGAGGTTTTTAAGGCCCGGCTTGACAAAGCCTTGGCTGGGATGATTTAGTTGGTGTTGGTCCTGCTTTGAGCAGGGGATTGGACTGGATGACCTCTTGAGGTCTCTTTCAACCCTAATATTCTATAATTCTCTGCCATGCTGTCTCCCCTCCCTCCATTTGTGCTGCCTTGTAGAGTGTGAGGCTACATTAACAACAAGGTGTTAACCCTTGAGGGCTCAGCCAAGTGCTAGTTCATCATTTAGCAGCAAGGCATTGCCACGGAAATATCCCACCCACTTCCACCCTCTGATTTCACCACCTCAACCAAGCTTCACAATCATCATTGCTGTGTACAGCATTAAATTGTTTAAAACTTATACTGTGTGTGTGTGTGTGTGTGTGTGTGTGTGTGTGTGTGTGTGTGTACACATAAAAATACACACATTATATATATAGAGAGAGAGAGATCAAAAAAAACCAAAACAGTCATCTTTTGTCTGGCGAAAAAAATTTCCCTGGAACTTAACCCCCCCATTTACATTAATTCTTATGGGGAAATTGGATTCGCTTAACATCGTTTCCCTTAAAGTAGCATTTTTCAGGAACGTAACTACAACGTTAAGCGAGGAGTTACTGTATAGTAAAGACTGAAAATTCAAACAAATGTAATAATCAACCAAAGGCCAACAAATGTAGGGAATTATAGAAACAGTTCAGCTACACTACCATCTAATGGCCAAGCTGGAAAAATACTTGAGCAGCTTCTATTACTTAATGAATATGTAAAACCCATCTCAAACCCATCAAGTTTGGTTGCTATCAGAACTCTTCAGTGGATACACATTTTTATATGTTTAGCAGAAGCTAGCATGCTGATCACAAAGATTACATATCCATGACAAGACTAAACTTTTCATTTAAAGTTCTTCCTCTTAAATCATCCCACATCATTTTTTGTAGCCATTATCAAAGAAGATGTAAATATATTTACAAAATTCATGTTGGAATGAGCATTTAACATAAGAGCTGTTCATCCACAGTAGATGAGCACAAACACACTTCCAGAAAAGCACATTATCCAACTACCCCTTAGCTTATTTTATGCAAAATTTCAGTTCATCCTCTGTGAGGACTTACCTGTCTCAGGGTCTAGACGGATCACTCTCCCTCCATCATAACAGGCTACCCAGAGTTTGCCTTCTGTATCAATACACATTCCATCAGGGATGCTTTCTTCCTTTTCTAGCTTGTATATACTCCTGCGATTGGCTGCAAAAGGAAATCAACGGGCATCGTACACTAAGTGAGATATTAAGTTATTGTGAGTTAACATTTTCCTAAGTCATACTCCTAGAAATAGCTAAGAAGGATGATTTTCTAATGCTGCACTGAATCCAGCTCCCTGCACTCTTGCAGATGACAGAGTATATAAGATCAGTTTGTTTCTGCAGATGGTTATTATTCAGCTTGACAGCCTGCAAGTCAGTCTGACTGTCAAAAACACAACAATTATTTTTGGTGCTCTCTTCTGATGTGTCAACCATATTTTTTTCCCTAACTATAAATTAGGGAACTATTGAATATATTATAGGAATTAATAATTTGTGTATTCCAAATTTGACTCTTTTCCATCTGTACAATATTTTATAAGCTGTCTGGGCCATTTCATAAATGGATTTTTTCAATCAAACTGAGAACTGGAGACATCTCAAGAAAGAGATTCCCAGAACACACCACCAATTGTTCCAACACAAAGCTGACATTCAAAATATATAAATTAACAAAGTTGGGAAAACCATGAACTCAAAGAGACACTGTCAATTTTAAAAAAAATTGCACTTTATATGAATATTTAACCACCCACTATTATTACAAGATATTAACAAAAGAAAATCCAACTGTTCTAGTTTGTTTATTCTGCGTTTTGACAATTGACTGTCAGAGTCAGTTTGTTCATAGGTTTCCTTTTCCTGCGTGGGGCTTTCTAAAATAGAAAAATGTGATTGTAAACCTCCAATATGGCAATGGGACTTGGGGCAGACATCGTACCTAAAACTACTTTAAACTCAATTTTAAAACTGACCAGATTTCCAACTGATGGCGTCCCTTTAAACCGAATTATTATGGCTCATGTCACTTTAAATCAAATTGTTAGAGTCCAAGTTGGTGGAGTTTTTCCATTTACCCATGCCTGTGAAAAGACCTTAAGGTTGTGGTGTTGGATTTTTGTTGTTGTTGTTTTTTTCCCCATAAATGGGGGAAGATGATGTTTGAGTTACTACTTTTCAGCGGTTGGTTGACTCTCTAGGATCTTCTTCAGTTAGGGATTTCCATTTTAAAACAATATGAATGTACACACTATAAAAGCGTAGCACGTTTTATACTTTGAAAAGATGCACTACAAACTTCTCTGCTAATTCACCTACTGTTTCATAATAACAGACAGCATAGCCACTGGAGTATAATGAGGCAAAAATGCTTCACACTTGATAACACAGGAACATTAGAAGTGAATTGTGAGTGTATAATCAATAAATGTACAATTTACAGGCTCAGCATAGATTGCAATGGATAAAATGAATTTTAACAATTATTCCAGGTCAATTATTTGAACCCCGATATATAATTCAATAATGTCCTAATGTGAACCAACCCATCTAATTACTCTGAGCTGGGAACCTTCTTAGATGAGCTGTTTTTTTAACCCGGTTTCTGCTAACTTGTTTTAAACAGAGTTTTGATGTCCAGCATGGATGAAACCAAACCACATTTAAACTAACTCAAAAAATAATGTTCTAGGACCACCGGCGTAAGTAGGGTCTGGGTCACAATTGATTTTTTGCTTAATAGTTGAAAGAAAAAACTGCACAGAAAGTAACTTTAAAATATTTTAGCATAAGAAAAGAATTCATACAAATTTTTCCTGTTTGCAGGTCATAATCAAAGGCATCCACAGAGTAGGACAGGCTATCAATGTAAAAGAAAGTCTTGTGATCCAGTGACCAATCCAAGCCATTAGAGATGTCCACCTGATCAAAGTGCTTCACTACAGAATGATCAGGGAAGAGTGTATACAGAGCACCTTGGTGTCTCTCTAGCACAGCAGGTCGAATCTCCTCAGCCATGGTACCTACAAGAATGAGAGGGTCATTCATTAGAAAGCACAGCTCCACAGAAATCAAATGCACTCCTTATACCACATCGCTCGCCCGGACCGCTTCCCGCCGCCCCCATTGGCCCGGGACGGCGAACCGCGGCCAGTGGGGGCCACGATCGGCCGAACCTGCCGCGTCAGCAGGTAAATAAACTGGCCCGGCCCGCTAGGGTGCTTACCCTGGCGAGCCGCGTGCCAAACGTTGCCAACCCCTGCCTTATACAGTGGCGATGACTGCCTCTGACATAAAACTTCCCTCTAACTTTGACTAGGTTTTCTCCTTAAAACATTCAAAAAAGAGATTTAGTTAAAACCAAAAGGGAGAAGGCAAATTTGATTGTGTGCATTTAACAGAAGATGACAAATAAAATTAAAGTTTTTTTTTTTAATTGCGGTTGCAAAGGAGTTGAAGGCAATCGTGCTAGCATTGTTAATTATCTAGTGTTTTCAAACATTAAGATGGTCATCACAATTTAATGCCCTTCCCCCCGAAAAACCCACAAACATAGGAAAAAATTGCACTAACTTTAGAATCAGGGCTACAGACGTCTCAAAATCTTAAATGACAAGTTATGCCACAAATATAGAGATAATTTTGGGGTTGTTCGGTAAGAGAAAATTAATATACATTTGAAATTTCAAGGTTTAACTTCAGACACATTCTCCCTGTTTTGAAAACACTTTGCTGTATGCTTACATTGTTTTTACAAATATCTATATTCTGTGTATGGGAAACAAACAATAACTTGGCATGGCAAGTTTTCCACTGTAAACATATTTGCATTGGTATTTTCCAAGTGCATTCAAAACAAGTCATGCATGCCAACATCTGAGACAAGAAAATAATTTTTATACTAAGCAAGTTCTAAATAAGAACTTCCCTTAAAAAAAAAAAAAACTAATAGAATAGTGCTCTGGGGTGATACATTTTTAAAAGTGGATTAAATCAACATTGCATTTTAGAATTAGATTTGGTGTGGTTTGGAAGTAAGACTACCACGACTTGAACAGACACTTCGTGCATCTGCCAGGGTTCTTTACAAATTGTCCCTAAAATCTTAAGAAAAAATTACTGAAGAGGACTGGGAACTATGTCCAGCATACCTGCAAAAAACCTCCCTGCAGGGTCCACTTTCCCATCATTGAATCTGTTGTTTGGTTTATCCTTGTCAACGTGAACAAAGGTGGTTACTGACTGGTCTTTCCATTTTAAAGCAGCAAACCTGGTTCCTAGGGTAACAACATAATCCCCAGATTTCCGAAGGGCTACGCTGCTAACAGGAGCATCTAGAGACAACATAAGAAAACGGGGGTGAGGGGAGAAGTAAAATACTATAACTGTAGATAAAAGCAATCAGCCACCTGTAACCAACATATGATTGCTCATCACATTCATAACCAAGGTTAACAAATATTTCATTCATATCCAGATGCTATTTTTCTATTTGTAATGTTTTTGGCCAAGTACTGCTCAAGAACAAGCACGAATAATAATTGATAATTAATCTCACTTTAATTAATCTGGGCTTTCCTGGATGACATGGTCCATCTATCATTCACAAGCCAAGTAGCATTTATCACAACACACAAGAAGCTTGTATTGTATGTACATGCTTGTGCACACTTATGGAATTCCATTAGTGAGAACTATGAACTAATATTGCACACACAAAAGTATTCAAATTATATATTGAATTAATTTATAGACTGCAAGCTCCTTGGGGAAGGCATCATATTGTCCTGTATAGATATAGAAGTACCTAGCAAGGAAGGATAATTCAATGGTTAGGGCACTAGCCTCGGTCTTGAGTAACCTGGGTTCAACTCCCTGCCTTGGCACAGACTTCCTGTGTGACCCTGAGCAAGTCATCCCCTCTCTCTGTGCCTCAGTTCTGTACGGTGCCGTACAATGGGGATAATAGTACTTATCTCACCAGGGTGTTGTGAAAATAAATGCATTACAGATTGTAGTGCTAAGAATCTACGGTAACGATAAACTAGCAGGGCCTTTGGGGGCTACTGCAATACTGCTAATAATATTGTTATTATTGTTTATTTATATTGCAGTAGACCCTAGAAGCCCCAGTCCTGAACAGGACCCCATTGTGCTAGGCACAGAACAAAAAGCTTATATGGAAAACGAAGAGTTGATCAGATATGCTATAACAGGGATTGGCAAAGTTTGGCACATGGCCCGCCAGGGTAAGCCCCCTGGCGGGCCGGGCCAGTTTGTTTACCTGCCGCGTTCGCAGGTTCGGCTGATCGCGGCTCCCACTGGCCACGGTTCGCTGCTCCAGGCCAATGGGGGTGGCGGAAAGTGGAGGACAGCACATCCCTCAGCCCGCGCCGCTTCCCGCAGCCCCCATTGGCCTGGAGCGGCGAACCGCGACCAATGGGAGCCGTGATTGGCCGAACCTGTGGATGCGGCGGGTAAACAAACCGGCCTGGCCCGCCAAGGGGCTTACCCTGGCGGGCCACGTGCCAAACATTGCCAATCCCTGTGCTATAAATAAACAATCAGGATGCATAAAAATCAATTTTTTAAAATTCTCTTTTTATTTCAATTAAAAAGATTTCTTTTAAAAATAAACCTGTTTAAAATTATAACAAACTATAATCTACTAAAATCACGTAAATTAATTATAAAAAGATAATATTCAAGAAGTATATATTCTCTGCTAAAGTTTTAAAAGAAAGTCAAACCACTGAACTAGTGAAAGTGGCTGACAGAGCACCTGGAACTAGAGTTCACTGAAGTGCTAAACCAGCTTTTGAGAGCAGTAGCCTCTTTTGCAGGTGCACAGAGAATATTTTCTTAATTTCAAATTTATTCAACTAGTTCAGCTCAATGACTCGCTCAGTCAAAGTTGAGAAACCGACCGGGAATTGAAATTTTCTTGAAAAAGCAAGAATGCTTGTTTTCCTCTTCCAATCTATGAATAAAAATCAGGTGTGAAAGAATGAAATCTACTAATTCTAAAATCTTGGAAGAACGTGGTGACCAAAAACAGTCACTTGAACTCAATAACTACAGATAATACTTCCTTTCTTTAATATAATGAGCTAGTTTTAAATGCAAAACATGTTTCGATAAACTTATTTTTTTATGTAAGTATCCAGTACATGTAAGGTAGTTTTATTTAACTAAAAACATTTAAAAACGCTGTTTTTGTGCACTTAACTGAATTCCAATTTCTATACAAATACAGCTTGACACAAATCATCAGTTAAAAAAAATCTAAGTAAATAAGAAATGAGCCATTCATCATTTTTTAACAATAAAAAAAGGTAAAAATTAAGACTCTGAATAAATGCATGTTAAGCTATATAAATGCTTAAATAATGTGTGCGCATATATAGTGTATCCTACTGATTGGCAAAAAGTACCAAATTATATCAACCACTGAGAATCATCCTTTCTTTAGGAACATAGCTAAAGAGTATAAATGCAAAACAAGATTAAAATCGATTATTTAAATAAGATTTCCCGGTTGTTGATTTTAAATCAGGGTTAAAATCGTGATTTAAATTGCTTTGATTTAACTCAATCCACCATGTTTACAGTAGTGTGAAACTGAGTTTACCAGAATAATAATTAAAAAAATAAATGTGCAAGGTAAGATATGTACTGAGTTTTCATTTACATTCTACAGCTAGTTGTTACTAAACTGATGGGCATGTTTAGATAGGTAAACATAATACAGTACATAAAAATAGATACACAAAATGAGAAGGCAAGGCAATTCAGATGCTCATTTTAAGAACTATTTCTGTAATAAGTTGGAAGCTAACTGTGTGTGAGAACATCCAAATACTGTTACTATATTTAACTAAACTTAACATGATTTTTTGCCCATATTACTCCATATTATGCCCCCTACCCCAGAGCTCCCGCAGCGCCCCCAGGCCGCTCTCTGCCCCAGAGCGCCCAAGATTTAGTCAGGGGTATATAGTACAAGTCATGGACAGGTCACGCCGGGGCTGGGAATTTTTGTTCACTGCCCGTGACCTGTCCATGACTTTTACTAAAAATACCCAAGACTGAAACGTAGCCTTAATCGTGACACGGGATGACAGTTTAAGCTGTAAGTAAGCCTAAACTCACTGCTCCAATTTAATTTTACAAAAGAGAACACTTCGTTATTATAAAACTGCAACTTGTGTTCACATGGCCTGAAATGGCTACAAACACAGATTAAAGACAACTGGAGAAATTGTGTCACAAGCCTACCCTAGGAAGCTGGGGAAAAGAATGAGCTACTTACATAAAGAGAAATGTGGAACACAGACAGAAGCCAAAACGGGCCTGCAGCACAAAAAAAGCTCTCAAAAAACTTTAGAAAAACTAAGACAGCAAAAGGGATTCTCACCTCATTAGGCTATTCAACTGACATGATCTCCAGGACAACGTGGAGCTTACAGCTAAACTCCACTAACTGTAACTAAGATGTTTTTAAAAATAGGTCAGGCTTAGAGATCTTAAGGCTGTTAGGGTTCTAATAAAGAGTCAGAGATAATAACCATAGAGTTCCTGTAAAAATACTTGAAGTGGAAAAATGACTAGATGTATAAAAAGGAGTTGCTATTGTGATGTTGCACTCCATATATTTTATGGAAATATGCTAATGAGTGTGAATATAATGTAACTGTAATATGCTTCATGCAAAAGGTCTCTTGTAAGGTATCATTACAAAGCTTATAATCTACTGAGTGTGTTTGTCCTATTTGTATGAATGTATCATTCTTGTATCTGAAATTAGGAATATGAAATATAACTCAGATCCTATTGTAATTATGCAAAGTGTGGTGCATTAATGGTGGTTTAGACTCTTGATGGCTCCCACTGACTACGATGCCTCAGTTTACCTGCAAGCCTCCACTGCATACATGCGGGCCAGTCCTGAAAGAAAGGAGGGGGGCTCACAGGACATGTGAACATGTCACATGATACTGGAATCCATCTTTAACCTGGTGCTTTTCCATTTAGAAGGAGGGGTGGGAACCCAGAGAGAGACAAAGGATTCCCACCTTGTGCCAAAGATATAAAAGGGGCTGGAACAGAACAAACTCGGTCCCAGTCATGAGAACACCCCTGCTTTTCACCTAATATGTCTGCTGGAACTAACAAGGGCTGTACCAGGGGAAAGGATTGGGCCCAGACTAGGAAGGAGTCTAGTCTGTGAAAGAAGCTTATTGGAACATCTCTGAGGGTGAGATTTACCTGTATTCAGTTTCTTAATGTATTAGGCTTAGACTCGTGTGTTTTGTTTCATTTTGCTTGGTAACTTACTTTGGTCTGTCTGTTATTACTTGGAACCACTTAAATCCTACTTTTTATACTTAATAAAATCACTTTTGTTTATTATTTAACCCAGAGTAAGTGATTAATACCTGGGGGAGCAAACAGCTGTGCATATCTCTCTATCAGTGTTATAGAGGGCAGACAATTAAGTTGTTACTCAAGATGCAAAAACTGAATATAAAGTAACTAAGATAACTGCTGTACATAGAAATCTAAGCTTCATTCTCTCCATTAGATATTGTACCATTAGAACACAGAAAATATTAATGGAGTTTAGTATATATTGTAAAAAAAGTAAAATAAAATAAAATTAGTAGGTGGCAGAGCTTTCCAGGGATTTAAGTAGAGCAGAGAATTAGCAAAATGATCCCTGGTTATTTTACGCTCAACTGACCTATTAGGTACAATTACAGGTAATTAACAAGGAATTAACAAAAACAGAAAAGAAAATTTTAGTAGAAAGATCTTGTTTCTATAAAAGCCTACTATCTAGAAACAAAGTAAGGAAGAATAACCTTAACAGGTTATAGCCAGTAAAAGTTGGGATAAATATCGGACAAGAACTGGGAAGAAGTATAGAAACTAATGACCAAAAGGTCTTTTTATAGGATGTAAGAGAAATGCAATATAACATTTTGCACAAATTACTTCACAGTATAAATGAAATGCATGGGACTCAGGCATACGACTGGGCTGGCAGAGATGTGGAAACAGAAGCATAGATGCACACATTCTAATCACTCTCTGCTAGGAAAGTATATGGAAAAAATATCCAACATGACCAACAAGCATATACAGTACCAAGGAACGCTATACTAGTATAAAAGAATTAGAAGTGTCAGCAAAGGAGAACTCTATAACCTGTAAGATGCCAATTACTGCCTTTTGTCCAGTCCTCAAACCAGAAGGAAGACACTACTACCTTCAAGTTTAAATTAAGTAACTACTAAATTTACAGGTATCTCAATTTACTGCTGATGGACAGACTAAGTTAACCA